CGCCTCCCACTCTCTCCCTATTTATTTCAGAACCCCCTTCCCCTCCCCCTTTTCTGATGAAGGGTCTAGGCCCGAAACGTCAGCCTCTCTGCTCCTATGATGCTGCTTGGCCTGCTGTGTTCATCCAGCCCTGCACCTTGTTGTCACCCTTTTGAGGGAGGTGCCTCCCAAGGTATCGTGACTGCGAAATATATCCCGGAGTCTTAATATATATGTAAGGTAGAATAGTTAACTGATGGGTGATTTGAGTTTTGTTTTGGCAACGCACAAGCAGTGGCCAAGTCTCTTTCTTGCAGGATTGAAGAGATCAAGGGTGGTTTGCACATCTGGTGCAGAATGCAAAACCAACAGTGAAGTTACCAGTGCATACCGTATCTTATGTATGTCTGTTGTGGTCATGTTATGTTGGCACGGATGAGACTGAGGTTAAAGAGTTTTCTATCCATGCAGTATTTAATCCCGAAATCAGAGGGCACAGCCACTGTTTGGTAGGTTAAAGATCATATGGAGCTATCACACAGAGGGTGTCACTCTGGTTCTGATCCTTGAAGACATCTGTTCCAGAAGCTCAGATTTGCTGGATTTAGAAGAAGTTTCTTGGACTGAGTTTCTTTACTGAGTTATCTGCTTTGGTCAGGTTGAGAAATGTAATGCAGAGTTTCTGGTGTTGTGCTTGACATTTTACTTGGATTTTTCTGACAACAAAGACATGTCAAAGGTTCCACCGGAAGGTTTAAAGCTACAGTGTGTCTTTGGGAAGATTTGCACAGCCACAGTAAATCGGAGAGTCAGGAGAATGTGTATCAGCTCTTTCCCCACTAGGGACAAGATGCTCCACCAATTAATAGGATCATGTTTGATTTTGTATTTCAACACCAATTTCCTGCACTATCCCCATTTTCCTCAAAGTTTTTAATGTCTAGAAATCCAACGATCTCAATTGTGAACATATTCAACATTAAGCTTCCACTGCTCTCTGGGGTAGAGAATTTCCAAAATTCACCTCCTTTGAGATAATAAATTTCCCCTCATCTCTGTCCAAAAGGCCCTATTCCTCATTCTGAGACTGTGTTCCCTGGTTCAAGACAGCATATCAACACTGTCAATCTCTGTAAGAATATGGTTTGTTTGAATGAGATCACCACTTGTTCTTCTGATTTCCGGAGAATAAAGGCTCAGTCTATTTATTCCCTCATCAAAGGACAATCATACCATCCCAGAAACTAGTTTGGTGAATCTTTGTTACACTTCCTCTGTAACAAGTAGTTATTGTCGCAGATGTGGAAATCGGATCTGCTCACCACATTCCAGGTGCGTTCTCTCCAAGGCTCTATATCATTGCAGTAAGACATCAGGAATTAGGGGAAGGCTACACCAAGAGTGAAGGAAGGCCTGAACCTGGAGTGAGGGGAGGCCGATACCAGGATTGAGGGGAGGGATGTCTGCACCAGGAGTGAGGTGAGTTTGCATCAGGTGTGAGGGAAGTCTGCACCAGGAAAAAAAGAACAGTAGAGCACAGGAAAAGGCCTTTTGGCCCACCAAACCTGTGCTGATACTGACACTTTTCTAAACTAAAAACCTTTCACCCTCTGCTGTCCAATTATCTACTCCCTGCCTCTTCATGTATCTGTCAAGATGCCTCATAAATGTTGCTATTGAACCTGCCTCTACCACCACCACATTCCAGGCACTTACCACCCTCTGTAAAAAAAAATTCGTCTTGCATTTTTTTTAAACTTTCTCCTTGTTATCTTAAATGTATGTCCTCAATTAATTGGCTCTTCTACCCTGGGAAAAAGACTCCAACTATTCATTCTATCCATGCCTCTCATAATTTTGTAAACTTCTACCAGGTCACTCCTCAGCCTCCGACATTCAAGTGAAAACAAACCAAATGTGTCTAGTCTTTTCTCATAGCAAATATCCTCCAAACCAGTCAAAAACCTGGTAAATCTTTTCTGTCTCCTCTCCAAAGCCTTCATATCCCTCTGTTAGTGTGGCAACCAGAACTGCACACAATATTCCAAATGTGGCCAAACTAACTTTCGATACAGCTGCAACATGATTTGCCAGTTTTGAACCTCTAAGTCCCAAAGGCAAGCAAGCCAAAGGCCTTCTTGACCACCTTATCCACTTGCGTTGCCACTTTCAGGGAACAGTGGACCTGCACAACTAGATCCCTCTGCATGTTATTTCTTCTGAGGGTTCTGTCATTTACTGCATACTTTGCTCCTGCATTAGACCTTCCAAAATTCATCATCTCACATTTGTTCGGATTAAATTCCATCTGCCACTTCTCAGCTCAAGTCTCCAGCCAATCTATATCCTGCTGTATCCTTTGGTAATCCTTCTTACCATCAACAGTTCCCCAGTGTTTGTGTCATCTGCAAACTTATTAATCCGAACATATACATTATCCTTCAAAATATTTACATATATAATAAATAACAGGGTCCCAGCACTGATCCCTGCTGAACACCACTGCTCACAGATATCCAGTCAGAAAAACACCCTTCCACTACTACTCTCTGTCTTCTATGACTAAGCCAACTCTGTATCCACCTTACCATCCCTCTGCAGATCCACTTGACTTCAACTTCTGCATCAGCCTGCCATGAGGCACCTTGTCAAAGGCCTTACGAAAGTCAATGTTGACAACATTTACTCCCCTGCCCTCATCACCATCAAACTTCCTCAAAAAGCTGAATCAAGTTTGTAAGACATGATCTTTCCTGGTCAAACCCATGTTGCCTATTGTTAAGAAATCCATATTTTTTCATATATGAGTAAATCCTGTCCCTAAGAATCTTCTCCAGTAATTTCCCTACCACTGACATAAGGTTCATTGGCCTATAATTTCTCTGAATACCCCTGCTGCTGTTAAACAAAGGAAACATTTTGGCTATTCTCCCGTGTTCTGGGACCTGTCCCATAACTAAATAGGATACAAAGATTCCGCACAAGGCCCCTAACAATTTCCTCACTCACTTCCAGGATGGAGGGGAGACAAATCTTTGTTTCTTTATATTAAAAAAATCTGTTTCTGTATTCTCCATTTAAGAAAATAAAATTAAATCATCCTGTACAATGTTTCTGAATGCAGACTTCCAGCAGTGTAGTCTTTGAGACTGGCTGTTGCTTTCCATCACTTACTGATGACATTGGCTTCCTCTTTGAGCATGTGGCACCTTGCAGCCCTGTATAAACCTGCTCGCTGACAACCCCTCTCATTTTTTAACACTTAGTGCACCTTAAACCAGTGTCCTTTTGTGGGACTGGAGTCACATGTAGGCCAGACCAGGTATGTACTGAGATGCATTCAAGAAGGAAACAGGGATAGTACAGTGCCAACATGTTGCAATAAAGAAAAAGAATGGGACCAGCAAATCAGGACAGGTGGATAATGTGGTTAAAAAGATTTATGGGATACTTGCCTTTATTAGTTGAGGCAGAGAGTTTAGGTAAGAGCAGGGAGATTATGCTGGAACTCAATAAAAATTTGTTTACACCACAGCTAGAGTATTGTATGCAGTTCCGGAATCCACATTATGGAAGGAGATAGTAGGAACTGCCGACGCTGGAGAATCTGAGATAACAAGGTGTAGAGCTGGATGAACACAGCAGGCCAAGCAGCATCAGAGGAGCAGGAAGGCTGACGTTTCGGGCCTAGACCCTTCTTCAGAAATCATTACATTAATCATCGCATCAATCCCACATTATAGAAGGGATGTGATTGCACTGAAGAGGGTGTAGAGGAGATTTACCAGGATGTTGCCTGGGCTGGAGAGTTTCAGTTCTGAAGAGAGATTGGACAGACTGTTTTCTTTAGGTCAGAGGAGATTGAGAGGGGACGATTGAGAGGCATAAAATTATGAAGGGAATAAACAGGGGAGACATGAAAAGCATTTCCTCTGATGGAATGCTAAATGGCCAGGGGAGATTGATTTAAGGTAAGGGGCAGGACTTTTTTTTCATTCACTCATGAGCCCTGGGTATCACTGACTGGCCAATATCTTTGAGATGCTGTGAACCATGACCCTTTAAAATCCTGGGCCAACTGGATGAAAATTTTGGATGAGCAGGATGGGTTTCCTCTGCAATGGAGTGGCCAGGTCAGGAGTGCTGGGAGCAGGGTTTGTGACCTGAACCATGGGACTGTGAGAAAATTGGAAACCCTGCATTAGCATTGGTAATCATTGAATCAGGAATCCCCGTGTCACGTTAAAAGGACATCTGAGTCATCCCACTTTGGTGAATGCAGAAAAATCATTTATGATCTTCTTATCCTGAGAACTTCAATCAAATCACCTCCAAACCTTCCAGTCCAAAGAGATACAAACTTAATTTGTGACAGAACTACTTGTAATTGAACTGTGTGAGACCAGATATCTTCATTCTGCACCTCATTCTTTCTCAGCTCAAACTGTACTTCCCAAGATGTGGTGCCCAGAACTGCTTACAAGTTGAAAAAGTCATAAATTAAAGATTATTCTCCTCAGGTTCAAATTTTTCCTCAGCAGTGGGTCTGTCTCTGTAATATACTCATACACTTACAATCCATTGAGACTACATCCTGTCTCCAATTCTGGCTCCTCCATATCCCTTACAGTAAATATAAACTCACCATAATCCCAGAGGGCATAACGTTGATCTCTCATTAGAGAGAGCGGACTGGTGGGTGGTTCAAATTGACTGTAATAACAAAATCACTGGTGCCAATGTTTTCAATCTCCAAGATTCTAAGAATCCCATATAAAACTCTTCAACTCTCTTTCCCCCTTCTAAGTCGCTCCTTAAGACATGCCTATTGGAGCACGACCTGTCCAAATAACTCCAAATACAGTTTGATGTCTGATTCTCATGGAGATCATAGAACATTTTCCAATGGTAAAATTATAATGTAAATACAGGATTCTGTTTTACTGTAAGATTCTTTGATTCTAGAGTAAGAAAGCTGATAAAGTAAGGCAGTTTTAGAATGGATACTGTTTGTATTACAGCTCAGCCTGATCCCTGTATCTATGCCAACATCGTGTTTGACAGTAACAGAAAAGGTAACCTTCTACAAATTTTTTTTCTATATAGTGATGTTTCTAAACATTTAAAATACATCCTCTTCACTAACAGATTATTCTCTTTCAGTTCAAGATGGCAAGACTCTCTCAGTTGCTGATTCAGAAGAGAGTGAGTCAGTTTTTTCCTTTCAAAATCCTGATCCTCTCCCCTTCCACTGAAGCCCATTCTCCCATGTGTGAGACAGTGCCAGTTGGGGCTGGGTGATCTATTTCCTTGTTCTTAGAGTCCCTGACCCTGGGTGGCTGGATCATGGAAGTTTGATCACATGACCTCCAAGCCCTATCCCCTCACCACAATGGTGTTGGTCGATCTGTCCATCTTCATTTGGGTGTAGCTTTTCTGCACCAATCGGAACGCAAACAAATTCTCCACTATCCCATTGAATGATATTTGACTGTCAGTCAAAAAGCTTGTCTCCCCCAGTGTGTTTGTAAAGGTCATAAAGAGAATGAGGGGCAAAATGTACAACTGTTGGAGTAAATATTCCCCTTTCCAGTAATTACCTTGATACTGAGGAGCTGACGTTGGGGTAAATCTTCCCCATTTTCCGTAATTACCCACAAACTGAAATTATAACCATAATCAGCACTGACTTCTGTCTCTTTCAAGCAGATGTAACCTATGCAGCCATTGTGAACACATATTAGGAGTGAGCATTCACAGTAAGTACTGAACGTGTGTAACCGAGGCTGCACTGTTCCCCAGATCAACTTCAAGGAGCATCATGAGATTCAGCAGCTCCTAAACATGACACAATTATTCTTCAAAAGTACTTTTTATATTTTATAAAGTCTTAGCCTTTTTATCTTTCTGCTTTTTTGTAATGAGGACTGGAATGGATCAGAATTGTTGGAAAGCCAAGGATTGCTGAAGGATTACTGCATGTTCTTGAAAGCAAGTAAGCTGACACTCATTCTAAGTCTTGTTTACACAGCTGCTGGTTCAAACAGTAACAGAAGAAGGTGCAGACAAGCTGGAGACAAAGATGTGTACAAATGGAGATTCAGCCAGAAAAGTATAGCTGATTGGTCTGTGGACTAATGATCAGTAATCAATGTCAAAGACCTTCTTGCTGCCAACAACTATGTGATTGGTTCCTGGTAACTGACCATCTTTTGGATGTAAACAAAATAGGGAGGAGCCATCAGACCTCCACCAACTGAGGAACTTTTCATCATCAGCTCTGTTCCCTGCAATAAAAGATCATTTAAATCTGTGCAAAACCAGCTTAATTTCTTTTCCTTCAGCAGTTGCTGGAAGCTCTGATCTTTAATTGATAAGCCATACCTTTTATAAGCCACACTGTGTAACCCAGTGACAGCATCTGGAGAAGCAGCTTTCTGATCAGCACAAGAATCATCTCAGCAGATCCTGTGAATAGGGACAACTGAAACTGCTTTCCCTCCACCCAAAGAACAATGTTTAGTTTTTGTCTGTCTGTCTGATTGTGTGTGTGTGTGTGTGTGTGTGTGTGTGTGCGCGCGCGCGCGTTTAATTGGAAGTTAATGAGGATCTTAGAAATTTAACAAGTAGTGTTATATTTTGGTCATTATTTCTCTGGAATTAGAGTCTATTTACTTGTGATAAATAATAATCCTTGTGAAGTACAGAAACCTGGTCTGTGCTTTCTGCCAACCCAGATCTAAAACTCAGCTAAATTAGGGAATTTTGCGAACTTCTTTAAAAACTTTAACTTTTGTGACAACTCCAGGAATAGTGAGGCATGATGCCCAATGTGCTACCTCAGTGAGACGTAACAGTATCCATCAGGGCACATACACCAGGCCTTGTCATCACATGGGCTGCTACCACAAATAACTCATTCTCAACCACTAATGGTCTCCATGAGCAGCAATTCATTCTCCCAGAGTGACCTTTACACTTAGTTCCTGTCTGACTGTGTCTGTGTCTGAGTCCTGAAGAAGGGTCACTGGCCCTGAAATGTTAATTCAGCTTTCTCTCCACAGATGCTGCCATGTTTTCCAGTAGTTTCTGTTTCTGTTTCTGATTTCCAGCATCCGCAGTTCTTTGGGTGTTAACTTGCATCTCAGGACTGATCACTAGCTTTCTTAGCACTTGCTCAGTTAGCACTGACCTGCATCCTCACAGAATCCATCCTTTCCCTTGTGTCACCTTACCAGGCCATGTTGTGTCGTGTCAGGCCACACTTGCTGTGCCAGGCCATGCCTGCTGGTATGTTGCTGCTTCAGCCAGGGATGAAGGCTCTTAGTCCTGCTGTATTAACATGCTGTGCACCACAAATACGCAGGAAGGCTTTTTGTCATTCTCGTCAGTCGGGATCTATTCAGCTTGCGGGGACATCTTACTGTACACCACAACATGAGACTTCAGTCTAACACCTACAGGATATGCCAGCTGCCCACACAGCAAACACACTGCAAATTTCAAAATAAAAAATGAAAGAACTGCGGATGCTGTAAATCAGGAAACAAAACAGAAATTGCTGGAAAAGCTCAGCAGGTCTGGTAGCATCTGTGAAGGAAAAAAACAGAGCTAACATTTCGGGTCCGGTGACCCTTCCTTAGAGCTGCAAGTTTATTCAGTCAGATGGCCAAGTCAGAAACTGGGTGGAGACTAGTCCTTAGTCCAGTCAAATAGATGCATTCTCTGCTCAGGCCAAGCACCGTCAGCAAATCTGCCTGACTACAGTCCACGGAGAGGGCAACAGTCAGTGCTGTAGGGCCAGGAGCAGCAATCAGGAGAATCTTGTGTTGACAGTCTGGGAGAGGTCAGGGGTCCAGTCAGTCATGTTCTGGGGGCAGTTTGTCAAAGTGGCTCAGAGGTCTGGGGTGAATATGGTCCAAGCGACTGATCCATTGATTATTCTAGAGACACCGTGAGGGAATCACTAACGAAAAGGGTGGGGGAGTTGAGGCCTGGGTGGGGAAGAGTAGATGCACTTGTGGCTATGGTAACAAGAACGATGTTTGGTGAGGGCATCTCAAGGTGGATAGGGGGAGGAAGGTGAATGTGGAACAGCACTGGAGGGCATGGCAGGCTATGGTAATTGATGTTGACAGTGACCACCATCATGGCCTCCACAGGGAGCACAGAGGGGCAGAGTGGACATCATTGAGGTGTAACATCGGGCTCAGGGGGCAGGGTGCGGTGGGTGACAGTTGTTGGCGAAGTTCTTTGTGGTGGGTCTTCATGTGGGAGAATGGGTAGACGGGGCTGTTGGGGTAGTGCAAACTAAAAAGGGAATGTGGAGGCTTGAGACCGTGCACCTGGTGATCTGGCAGAACCCAATGCTGACGGTGTCCACTGTGAGCTGCATTCCCTGCCAGCACTTACTGTTCCTTAGATGTGAAATGGAACTGGAAAATGGCTGGGCCTGTGGTGCAGGATGGATGGAGTCAAGGTCACTTTGATGGTAAAAGCCTGGAACTCACCAGTGCTGGATGCCAGGACATTGAAGGGTCAAGTACATGAAGCAGGTATTTACATTACATTTAATTTGTAATGATTTTATCGTCCATTTGCAAAGCATGCAGAGTGAACATGGAAAGCAGTCAACTGCTGGTCACAGTCATTTGCACCTTGCCATCGGTGCTGCCAATTGAACACTGGCATTTCAATGATGCAGAAGCTTATTGTCAAGGACTTGAAAAAAGGCAAATGTTGGCCAAAGGTGAACCATTATTTGTGTAACATCTGATAGTGGTGTCATCATCTGTCGTGCAAGTCTAACAATAGTCTATCCTGAATGCATTGAGGAGATAGTGCAGGTACAAGGGATCTCAGTCTTTCAGTGATTTTCTGGTGAGTGGCAAGTGGGTTCAGGGATAGCCCAAGGTAAAAGCAGGATAGAATTGGATGTGGGGTATACCACAAGGATGGGGTAGGTAGTTAATGATATGCATTTGGTAAGATACAGTGAGAAATCTCACCACTGCTATAGCAAAGATGTTGTTAAACTTGAAAGGGTTCAGAAAAGATTTACAAGGATGTTGCCAGGGTTGGAGAGTTTGAGCTGTAGGGACAGGTTGAATAGGCTGGGGCTATTTTCCCTGGAGCGTCGGACGCTGAGGGCTGACCTAATGGAAGTTTATAAAATCATGAGGGGCATGGATAGGGTGAATAGTCAATGTCTTTTCCCAGGGTAGGGCAGTATAAAGCCAGAGGGCATCAGTTTAAGGTGAGTGGAGAAAGATTTAAAAGGGACATAAGGGCAACATTTTCATGCAGAGGGTGGTGCGAGTATGGAATATACTGCCACAGGAAGTGGTGGAGGCTGGTACAGTTACAACATTTAAAAGGCATCTGGATAGGTATATGAATTGGAAGGGTTCAGAGGTATATGGGCCAAATGCTGGCAAATGGGACTAGATTCATTTAGAATATCTGGTCAGCATGGACGAGTTGGACCGAAAGGTCTGTTTTTGTACTGTACACGTCTATGACTCTGTGGTCCTCACAGTGAGAATCTCTAAAACTTCCGAGACAACTCATACACAGCCAAAACAATGTAAGATTCAGCTCAAAAAGTTAACCACATTGTGTAGGACTAAATCCAGACACAGGCCAGACCTGGTAAGGACAGCAGATTCCATTCTTTGAAGGACATTCATGAACCTGTTGGCAATAAATGCTGGCCCAACCAGCAACATCCCACATCCCATCAAGACATGAGAAAAGTTTATCAAACACTTTTTAGAAATCCAGGGATACCAAAGTGACCCTGTTCTCTATGTTGATTGTTACTTCCTTAAAGAACAAATAAATGAATCAAACACTATTTCCCTTTCACCAAATCATGTTGACTCTGCCTGATTGCATCATGATTATCTAAATACTGATGTCACTGCCCTAATAATGGATTCTAGCATTTTCCTAATGACAGCATAAGTCCTTAACACTTTCAGCAAATTACTCTTCATACTATTTTTGACAACCCATGAAATCAAATTAACTTAAACAACAGCCCTTTAGAGGCTGTGTAAAAATAAAAATCAAATCTTCAAAGGAAGTAGATTTATTATAATTAAAATGTCATTCCCCTGAATGATGCCCTGCAGCTCCTGCTGTACCGAGTATTCGAATCAGGCTGAACGTATACCTGTGACCATTGCAATGTGTCTTTATACGCTTTGTTTGGAAATAACCAATATAAGTTTAACCAATGAAACCAAACTTAAAGTTAACAGGCCGTTGAAGGAGCTGTAACATAACAAAAAGTTTCAGTGTAATTTTAGAATTGAAAATGTTGTTGTGGGTGGAGTTAATGGATTCTAGCCCTGTAAGTGCCCAACAGTCTGAGGACAACACTTTGACACAGAAATGTTTCTTTTGAGTTGTTGTTCTGAAAAGATCAATAAAACTAAAGAGCCAAGTTAAAAGTTGTCAACCTCTTAAAGGGGATTGTTACAAAATAAAAAAAATCAAATTTAGAATTAAGTTTAAAATGTCATTGTGGGTGGGGATAGTACTCTCCTGCCTCTGTCGTGTCCACCAGTCACATTTAGCATTTAGCACAGACATAGGAAGCTTGTTGTAGTTGTCAGTCATCCTCAGTTGACTCAGGGAGACAGCCTTTCTCAGGCGATTCTGGTACAGTCAGCCGATTGCAGCCTCTGTTATGTCCTGGCCCTTATCGGGGCAGTCAGAGAAAGGATGCTCTCCACACATCAGGCCGATGAGCCGAACGATCAGCAGCACGCCCTCCGATTTGACTCTTTCTGTTCTATTGAGGGCTGTTTCGCTCCTGGACTGAGGGAGAGGCAGGTAAAAATGCTCAAAAAAAAATGGTGCAGCTCAGACTTAGCCAAAAAATAACACAAGATACAGCCCAAAGCATTGGGGCTCTGAGAAGGAAATTGTGGAAACTGCAGAAATGACATGCAAACCACACACTGCAGACTTTATTATTCTGTTAAATCCTGTGTTTGGTTTTAAAGGCAAACCAGACTCACTGAATTTGTATCTTGATGAACTAGCCAGAGATCTGTGACCCTGGGTCAACGCTTATCCCCACGATGTGCATTCAGGACAGAAGGTCCAGGACAGCAGCCTCATCTGTGTCTCTAGTCACTCTCCCTTCAGCAATACAGAGGGATCTGGGCTACCAGAGAGAAGGAGCTAAACTCTTTATCTGATCCTGTGCTGCCCTGGGATTGTTTGATGGGGACAGTTTTGAGGGATCTTTATTTTCCGTTTCCGTTCAGTTTTAAAAGTATAGGGGCAGCCTCAATCTGTATGTTACCTTGTGCTGTACCTGCCCTGGGGGTGTTTGATGGGGACAATGTCAAGGGTGCTTTACTACAGATTAATTTCAGTTTTAAAAAGTAGAAGGAGCTTTACTCTGTATCCAACCTCCTGCTGTCTCTGACGTAGTAGGAACTGCAGATGCTGGAGAATCTGAGATAACAAGGTGTAGAGCTGGATGAACACAGCAGGCCAAGCAGCATTACAGGAGCAGGAAAGCTGACGTTTTGGGCCTAGACCCTTCTTCAGAAATGTCCTGGGTGTGTTTGCTGGAGACAGCATTGAGGGAGCTTTACTCTGTCTCTAAAACTGTCCTGCCCCAGGTCTCGGTGTGTTTGATGTTGACACTGATGATTTTGAGAATTGTATTTGAAGCTGATGTAACATCTCCTTTTCTCGACAGTTGCTGTGGTTGGTGCCTCAGTTTTACAACAGCTTTGTCACTCTCTCAGCTGCTACTGACCGTACACACACTTCCCATTTGTTGTTCATATGATGTAAAATTGACCAACATTACTTTGGCAAGATATCAAGTAACTTCCGTATTTTTATGTAAAGGACAAGCGTAAGTGAGTGAGAAGGGTGAAATGGTGAAGTATTGACAATGAGGTCTCTCTATGTTTGTCTCTCTGCAGTCTTCCTGTCAGTCTCGATGCAGGGTCACAGTAAGTACTTTCTAATACTGACCTTTCAAATCCATTTTGTTGATCATGTAATTGCGTCCTCCTTGATGACCTGTCTGCTGCCTGGCATTTAATTCCTAAACCTGTTGCTGTTTAGCGCGATGTGCCTTTTCCTTCATTGTGGTTTCTTCATCAAGGAGAAATTATTTGCTTTACAAAAAATGAAGGCAGTGACAACTAACTATTTCTAGTATGAAGATTCATTCCTTCAAGTTTTCATTGTAGATTCATGGAATCTAAGACATTTACAGCATAGAAAGATGCGATTTTGGGTCATCATGTCTGTATCAGTCAACAACCATCAGACTCTACTTGTCCCATTTTACAGCTGTTGATCTAAAAGCCTTCATAACCAACGTATTGATGGCTTTAAACTAATTAGTTAGGTAGGGATGGAGGTGGGGATGGGCAGAAAAACCAGCGATAGGCCAGAGGATTGAGAATTTTCTAGAAATTGTGAAATTAAAGAACAACAAGCCCAGGATGTCTGGGAAACCTCAAGACTGGATCAAGACTGGATGGGTGTGGGATTCAGTTGGAGGGAAGTTTGAAAACTCAAAAAGATGTGAGAGAGCAGAGGTGGAGGCTACTGACGAGGCAAATAGAAACACAAATGAACATCTAAATGCAAATGTTACTAGCATTTCTAACTCAACCGCGTTTTCTGGCAGTGAGCACCAGACTCTTATCACCCTTTAAGGGTGAAAAAAAATCTTTTCAACTCCCCTGTCACCCTCTATCTCTTATCTAAATCAATATAGATAGTTACTGATCCCTGTACGAGTGAAAAAAAAACACCATCTTATCAATCCTGCCTGTGCACTCATAATCGTACATATTCTATCAGGTTCCCTCTCAACCAATTAAAAAGAAATGAGAGAGTAGAGAGTGCAGACTATTGAAGAGGTGAATGATAATCAAAGTGTGATGGGAAGGTGTAGAAAATATATACAGAAGGGTGTAGTGGAAATTAGCACCAAGGTAAGAAACTATGTTAAAAAATTAGTACTTTGGACCCTTCATCTGTCTGGAAAAATTGACAAAAGGTGAAAGGAGGTGGGACCGCATTGTGTGGTGGTGAGGAATAATATAAATGCAAATGATCATGATGTGGAATTGGTTTAGGTGGAAGTAAGGAATATCAAGGCAAAGGAATCACTGGTGGGAGTTATTTATAGGCCAAAAATTGCCTCACTGCAGGATAAATTATAAACCAAGAAATAGTGGAGGTGTGAAAGAAAGGCACTACAATTGTCATGGGTCATGTTAATCTGCATATTGACTCAACAAATCAGATAGGCAAGGACAATAAGAGAAATTAATGTCTTGAATTCAGAAGGGATTGTGTCTTAGAGAAGTGCATCGCAGAATCTGTCCAGTAACAGGTTATTTAGATCTAGTGATGTGTAATAAGGGAAAATTATTAAGAGTTCCTGTATTTGAGGATCCTGCAGGGCATAGCAATCACAACATTATAGAATTTCAAATCAGTTTGAGGGAGAGCAACCTCAGCCTAAGAGTAGTGTCCTCAAATAAAGACAATTACAGAGGAATGAAGAAAAGGCATTGTATAAAGTGAGCTAGGAAACTAGGTGATGGGGAAAATGGAAAGTAGGATGAACAATGGCAGACATTTACGTAGATATTTCCTAATGCTGAGCTAGAATTTATTCTCGTCAAAAGAAAGACTTGATGAGAAGGATAAACCACTGAAGTTAACAAAGATGGTCAAGGGGAGTATTCAAACAAAAATTAATGCACACACAGCAGGAAAACCAGCGATAGGCCAGAGGATCGAGAATTTTCTAGAAATTGTGAAATGTAAGAGCAACAAGCCCAGAGAACTGTGGATGTCTGGGAATACTCAAGACTGGATCAAAAGGAAAAGAGAGTCATATAACAGGTACGAAATGGGCAAAATAACTTGGCCCCTAGAGGAATACAGGAAATGCAGGGGGAACTCAAGAAGCAATTAAGAGAGCAAAGAGAGATATGAGAAGACATTGGCAGGAAAGATTAGGGAGAATCCTGAAATATTCCACAAGTATATCAAGGGGAAGAGAATAACCGGGTAGAGAGTAGGGCCTATCAGGAGGAAGGAGGTAATCTGTGTGTGAGGCTGGAGAACATTGGTAGAGTGTTAATTGAATATTTCACATCAATCTTTACTCTGGAGTGAAGAATTCAAGGAGATGGACTGTGAAGTTCTTGAGCAAATTGATATAAAAAGTGAGGAGATATTGGAGGTTTTCGAAGATGTAAAAGTGAACAAATTCCCAGGGGCAGGTGACTTGTATTCCAGACTATTGTGGGAGACGAGGGAAGAAATTATTATGGCCCTGATTCAAAATGTTAAATTTCTTTTGGCCACTGAGATAGAACAGGGAACTAAAGACTAGTGATTCTAACATCAGTGTGAGGGAGACTATTGAAGAAAATAGAGAAGGAGAAAATTAGTCTCCATTTAGAGAAGCAAGGTTTGATCAGGGATAGTCAATATGGTTTTGGATGAGCACTTGTAGAGTCATAACAATCAAGGCTACGGGCCGAGTGCAAGAAAGTGGGATTCGTGTTGATAGCAGTATATTTTTGGCATTCCAGAATGCCAATGGACTGAAGGGCCTCTGCTATACTGCATGATTCTATGATTCTAAATCAATGACAGATAGCAATAAAGCTAGTAAAGATGGAGAAAATTGGGATGAAAGTAAATTGGCAAGAAATAAAAGAAACTAACAGCACCCACTTCTATGGGTAAATACAGAGAAAAAAGGTAGCAAAAGTAATTGTGAAACAGTGTTATGGGACAAGGGGGAAATTAATAACATGGAACCGGGAAATGGCAGATAATTTTGAGTCACAGAGTCACAGGCTTATGGAGATAGAAGGCTTTTTGGCCCACTGAGTCTGCTCTGGTCAAATGCAACCTCCAGCCAATTCTAATTCCATTGTCCAGGACGTTGCGGGAAATTAGGGAAGAAATTGTGGGGCCCTGAGCAGAGATATTTGTATCATCAAAAGCCACGGGTGAGGTGCCAGAAGACTGCAGGGTGGCTAATGTTGTGCTTTTATTTAAGAAAGGCTGTAAGGAGATGCCTGGGAACAATAGACCGGTAAGTATGACATCAGTGGTGGGTAAGTTGCTCGAGGGAATTCTGAGAGATAGGACTTACATGAATTTGGAGAGGCAAAGACTGATGAGGGTTAGATAACATGGCTTTGTGCATGGGAAATCGTGTCCCAGAAAATTGATTAAGTTTTTCGAGGACGTGACCAAAACGACCAAAGAGGGAAGAACGATAGACGTCGTCTGTGTGGATTTTAGTACAACCTTTGTCAAGGTTCCACATGGTAAACTAATTAATAAAGTTAAATTACATGGGATTCAGGGAGAGCATGCCAATTGGATAAAAATTGGCTTGATGGTAGGAGAGAGAATATGGTGGTGGACAGTTTTGTTTCTTTTTTCTACCCATGTGGACACATTTGAGGACCATCCCATGACATCATCCCTTTTATTCTGGCAATTGACTCATTGATCAATGGTGCAACACGACCTCCTCTTTTACATTGGCCGTTGCCCCCACATATCTCATCTGAAGGTTGTGTACCCTGGAACATTGTTCTGCCAATCCTTCCCCACCCTCAAACATGTCTCTGTGATAACAACAATATCACATCCCCACACATTAATCAACACCCTCAGCTCATCTGCCTTACTCACAAGTAAATGCCATCCAGCCATGCTATGCTCCCTTGTGCCCTCACTTGACTATATTCACACTGCCTTCTGGACTGACTTGGTTTGTTGTCTCAGGGTAAGTTAGCTCAGATCGTTGGACATTTGGTTTGCAATGTAGAGTGATGTCAACAATACAGGTTTAATTCCCATACTGTCTGAGGCTACAATGAAGGTCCCACCTTCCCAACCTTCCCCTTGTCTGAGGCGTGGTGACCCTCAGGTTAAATCACCACCAGTCATCTCTTTCTAATAAGTCAGCTGTTCTCTCAGACTTGGACAAATGTACTTTTTTACTTCTGTTCTTCTTCTTTATTTCTCTGTGTATTCCCCCCCACCGTTGTACCTCCACTGCATATCCCATCCCTTTGTTACAACTGATGAGTGAGCCAGTTTGCTGAAGGCTGGCTTGGGAATGGAGTAGAAAGTGATGGGAAATGGAAAAAATTCTGAAGGGAAGGCCCTGAGTTCTGCTCTTCAGATAACTCTGTGTCTCCTGGAACAACGGAGAGTTCAGAAAGCTCTCAGGCACCAGACTCTCTCTCTAACCAACAACAACAAATGCCCACAGTCTACCTTCAGGATGTTTACAAACCACCTGAAGCTCTCTGTTGTGCTCCAGTCTGCAGCCCATTCCACACTGTCTCAGGTCAGTTTAAAAGCCACTATTGTATGATGTTATATCTTTTCTCACTACGTGAGAGATTCAGCATTTCACCTCAGTGTTTGTTGCCAATGTTATATTCGTATCCCCTCTCTCTATCTCTCTCTCCCCTCACAGCGAATTCTGCTCCTGATTGGTCAATGACAGTCGCGAATGATGTGAGGGTTGAGGAATGAGGTTCCACTTTCTTACCTTGCAGCTCCACCCAGGCACTAATTTCACACTCATCGGTTCCATGATATGGATTCAATCTGACACAGGTGTTAACTTTGACTGTACCTATCCTGGTCCAGACCATTCCCAGGGTGAGCTGTGTAAGGATGTGATACAGTGGATGATTCAGATTCATGGATAATATCGGCAACAAAGATGTCTCAATAATGATGGAGGGACAGAGCCAGGAGGATGCTGGTATCTATTGCTGTCATCTGGAGCTCAGTATCGGCAGTTTTAAAACACAGTTTGGAAGAGATCTAGAAGTGAATGGTGAGGAACAATGTTTGGATGGTGTCGCTGCCCTGATAGTTCAATGGGAACAGGCTGCACCTGATCTGGGAGCTCTTGGGTTGGCTGCTTCTCTTGGGCTCTTTCAGTTGGTCTCAGGCTGGAGAAAGTAAGCAGGAGAGAGAAATGAGGCTGGGGTTTAAAAAACATTCCATCACTGTCTCTGAAACCTCCCACAGTCTCTCACACGTTCATTTGTTCACCATGTTTAAACTGGCTTCAGCATTCTGGAATAGGGAACTGAGTAAACATTACAGAGGATCCAAGCTCCAACACTCCAACCAATGAGAGCCCTGCTTTTTCTGCATTGGTTGAGGAAAAGAGAGACCTGGTATCTCCTGAGCCCTTATTGAATGAGCATGTGTCAGGGTGAAGGAATCTTCAGCTCACATTGGCTGAGAAGCATCTTCCATCTCTATTGCTGAAGAGAACACTGGGACATTGCCTTCTCCAGAGGCTTATGTCATGGGGAATGGATTCCAATCTATGGCCATTTGTGAAATTTGAATTTGAAAATATCTAGAACTAAAACCTTGTCTAATAATCACCGTGTAACCATCACTGTAAAAAAAAATCTGTTTCACTCATGTCCTTCCTTACCTGGTCTGACCTTTATGTGATTCCAGACCTACAGCAATGTGGTTGACTCTTAAATGCCCTCTGAATGCCTCACTCAGTTGTGGACAAGGAGTAAATCCAGGAGTGCAAATGAAACTGTGGCTACAAAAACAGGTCACAGGTAGGAATCCTGTAAATTAACACACTTCATGACTCCAAAGTATATTGAACTGTCAGGACTGCAATGGAATACTCCCCACTTGCCTGGAAGAGAGCAGGGAAATATATCGCCGCTCTGTCACCATTGCTGGGTCAACATCCTGGAACTCCCACCCTAACACCGTTGTGGGAATAAGAATAATGACAATATATGCTTCAGTAATGTGCCAACACTTCCTCCACCAGCACCTTCCAAACTAGTGACCTCCATGACCACAGTGAAAAACAGCAGCAGATACCCACCATCCTGACTTGGAATTATATTCATCTTTTAATTATTCAAGGGGATGTGAATGTCACATGCTTGGTCAGCCTTTATTGGACATCCCCAATTGCCCTGGAGAAGGGAATAGTGAGCTGCCTTCTTGAACTGCTGCATTCCCTCGGGTGCAGGGACACTCATGATGCAGTTGGCAAAGGAGTTCCAGATCTCTGTCCTACTGACACTGAAGGAATGGTGAAATATTTCCAAATCAGGATGGTGAGTGTCTTGCAGAGGAGCCTGTAGGTGGTGCACCTCATGTTCATCAGCAAACATCCATCCCCACTTCTGACCTTATGGTGGAGGGAGAGTCATTGATGAAACAGCTGAAGATAATTGGGCCTAGGACAATCCCCTGATGGACTCCTGCAGAGATGTCCTGGAGCTGAGATGACTGACATTCATCAACCACAGCCATCTTCCTTTGTGCCAGGTATGACTCCATTCAATGGGAGATTCTTCCCCGATTCTCATTGGATTCGGTTTTGTCAGGCTCCTTGATGCCACACCCATTCAAGTGCAGCCTTGAAGTTAAGGGCAGTCACTCACACATTCCATTACTTCACAGTGGACCGATGGGGCGGTAATTGGCCAGGTCAGACTCACATTGCTTTCTGCATACAGGACATTCCTGGGCAATTTTCCACATTGTTGGGGCAATGTCGTTGTTATAGCTGTGCTGGAACAGCTTGGTGTACTAATTGTCCACCACCCTTCTGGACTGCAGATCCATTTGATCCATTGGTTATAGGATGGCTCTATTGTGTGCTGTTCCTGCTGTTAGACAAGCAAGTAGTCCTGGAGGTTGTAGTTTCAGCGTGTTGGCATCACATTTTTGGGTATGCCTGGCGTTGCTCACAACATACCCACATGTACACTTCACTAATCTCCCAGCCTGATGGGAATGGTGGGTTGGGGGTTAACCTGGATCGTGAGGTTACAGATTGTGGTTAAATGGGCTTATAAATATTATGTTTAAGTTCGGGCAACTCTTTTCTTACTGCGTACTGCTGTGCCTCCACCTCTGCTGGGTCAGTCCTGTTGGTGGGACAAAGGACAAGATAATATACAGGGATGGTGACAGTGGTGTCTAGGATATTGTAAGTTATGATTCTGTGATTTTGACTATGTGAGACTGTTAGTCTGTGAGACAGCTCTTCCACCTTTTGCACTAGTTGCCAGATGTTAATAAGGCAGGGTTGACAGGGTTGTGTCTGCTCTCATTGTTTTTGGTGCCACAGTCAATGTGGAGTAGTCTGGTTCCATTCTTACAATACTGCTATTCCTTCAGTGTTGCTGTGTCAAAACCGTGGAACTCCAGCCCTGAAATTACTGTGGGAAAACCCAACACCTCAGAACTGCTGCAGATCAAGAAGACAGCTTCAACTGGGCAATCAGGATGGACAATAAATGCACATAATCCAAGCCAGCAATATACATGACCGAATTTTAAAAATTAGAGGAGAAATTGATGAAACAAAGAAGATTCTGAGGACACTAAATAAAAACCGAAAGAACTGCGGATGCTGTAAATCAGGAACAAAAACAAATTTGCTGGAAAACCTCAGCAGGTCTGGCAGCATCTGTGAAGGAAAAAACAGAGTTAACGTTTTGGGTCCGGTGACCCTTCCTTCCGAAACATTAACTCTGTTTTACCTTCACAGATGCTGCCAGACCTGCTGAGCTTTTCCAGCAGCTTTGCCTTTGTTCAAGGTTCTGAGGAGGCTTGACAAGGCAGATTCTGAGAGGATATTTGCTCTTATGAACAGAAGTCAAACAGAGGAATAGTTTCAAAATAAGGGGTTTCCCAGTTAAAGTGGGGATGAGGAAATATTCCATCTCTCAGCTTCTCTTTAAAGTTTGTGCAGCAAGGAGCCACATAATGATCTACCCCTCCACCTCCAAGCAAAATATCAGAATTGGTGCAGAAAAAATGATCTGGAATACGAGTTCACATTAACCTGCACTCATTTCAAAGCTCACAGGTTGGAACTAGTGAAAATCACATTGGGAATGACACTCAGAGTGAGGTCAATACTTGGAATGTAATTGTTGGGCAGAGTGTTGGGGGAAAGCTGTAAAATCCTTGAACTTATTTAAAGAATATTAAATTTGAACAATGGACAGAGGGTTCTGCATGAATGAATTCCAGGGGATTTAATACATTTCCTGATCTGTGAATATCTTGTGATCGAGGTTCTTGAAACAAGTGATGGGAGACATATTGATCAGGGTGACTCCTCGAGCGCAATGTCTGGACAGATCCATGAGAAATATGAGGGGATTTGTTAATTCTTCATTTTATCGTGAAGTTGAAAGGAATGTAATAAATTGAATCGAGAACTTCACCAGACTGACTTCATACATTCTGATGTTTGTCCTTTCCTCAACTGCTCAGGGAGAGGTTTTAGTGGTGAATGGGACAGCGGGAGATACTGTTACTTTACCCTGTATTTTCAGGACCGAGAGCTACCCCACCCTGACCACTGTTACCTGGATGAGGAAGAAGCCCTACCAACACATTGTTACATTTACAGCACAATCACAAGGAAATTGGACAGCTGTAAATGGTGGAAATCGATACGAGCTCATCGGGAACCCAGAGGAGGGAAACACCTCGACCAGGATAAACCAGCTGAGTGTGAGGGACAATCACACTTGTGTCAGGTGGAATACAGATCAAGATGCGATTACCAGTATCTGATCCAGAAAGAGACACAGCTGCAGGTAGATGGTAAGAAGCCATTCACACGTCCTTCAGTCTGAGAGTGTGATATATTATGTGGACATTTTGTGATTTGATTTTCTGATGAGAGACCATTGAACTAAAACTTTAACCAAGTTTCTTTCCACAGGTGTTGTCTGGCCTGCTAAGTATTTGTAGCATTGTGATATTTATTTCAAATTTGCAGCATCTGCAGTATTTTGCTTTTGTATTTTAAATTTGATATTTAAAATATTTAATATAATTTGATGTGCTGATCCTTTTAGGTGCATTCTGTTGTCAGTATTGAAAGACATTGACACACTCAGAACATTCAGTTCATTCTCCAAACAACACAAAATTGTACTGACATTGAGATCATCTCCTTGATCAGCAAAGTGCAACAGTCTAATGTGTCCCTCTTGGTTACAATGGAAGCTTTCACACCTTCATCAGGAATAGTTCCGTCAGAGCAAGTACATTCCTCCCGTGTCCATCTGAATGTGTGAGGCATCACAGCCACGTGGTACCCATCCTAGCCCTGCAGTTACACATGGGTTATAAATGGAGGTGGTGGTATTCTGCTGCTGTCACTGGGCCATGGGTTTGAAGCCCGCAACAGCAGAAGGTGAAACTTGAATGTAATTTTTAAAAGTCTGGAATTTAAATGAAAAACTAATCTAATGGCCACATGTAGCCATTGGTGATAACTGGAAATGCCCATCTGATTCAGTCAAGCCCCTTTAGGGAATCTGGGGGTTGGTTTAGCTCAGTTGGCTAGACAGTTGGCTTCTGAAGTAGTATGTATGCCTACAGTGTGGGTTCAATTCCCACACAGGATGTTACTATGAAAAACTGTCCTTCTTAACCTCTTTCCCTACCTGAGGTATGGTGACCCACAGGTTAAATAGCCACCAATCATTTCTCTCTAATAAGAAAGCAGCCCCATGCTCAGGTGAGAATATGGTGACTTGGCATAGTAATGAAATATGCCATGCATTGCTTTATGTACAATTGTGAGCCTTCTCTCTGTATCAGCACAACCTCACACTGGCATCAGCGATGCCTCACCAACACTCCATATTTCACTTCTAGCTCTACATTGGGTGACCACTTTGCAGAACACATGTTCTGTCCACAGAAATGACCCTGAGCTTTCAGTTGCCTGCCATTTCAACACACCACTGTGCAGGAACCCTGTGGCCCTCTGGACTCATTATTGTGTTCAATAATTTTAGCACCTGAGCACCTTCTTATTTCTCCTTCCCCCAACACCCACACACCAGGCCTTGTTCATCACATGGGCTGCTACTATAAACAATACATTGTCAGCGACTAATTGTCCCCTTCAGTAGCTATTCATTCTCCCAAGCTGACCTTTTCCCATTCCTTTGTCTGTACAATTGTCTTTCTCTCTCTCTCTGGTCTCCATCTTCACCGAGCGTGTACTCCAGTCCTCACTCTCTACCCCATCTTCAGCAGTTATACTAAACTTTTCTCAGCTACAACTAGTTATAGCGTCTTAGAGTCATACAGCATGGAAACAGATCCTTTGGTTCAACCTGTACATGCTGATCGTAAGCCCAAACTAAACTAGTCCCACCTGCCTCCACTTGGCCCATATTCCTCCAAACATTTCTTACTTATGTACTTATCATTTAAACATTGAAACTGTACCCACATCCACCACTTTCTCTGGAAGTTCATTCCACACATGAACCACTCTCTGTGTAAAAACAAAATTGTCCCTCTTGTCTTTTTAAAATCTTTCTGCTCTCACCTTAAAAATATGCCCCCAGTCTTGAAATCCCCCACCCTAGGGAAAAGACACCTGCCATTCACTTAATCTATACCCCTCATGAATTTATCAACCTTCTATGCTCCACTGAGAAAAGTTCCAGTCTATCCAGCCTTGCCTCATAACTCAAGCTCTCCTTTCCCAACAACTTCCTGGTAAATCTCTTTTGAACACTCTCCAGCTTAATGAAATCCTTCCTATAATAGGGCCACCAGAACTGCACACAGTACTCCAGTAGAGGTCTCACTAACATCCTGTGCAACTTCAACATAACGTCTCAACTCTTACACTCAAGGTCTGAGCGATGAAGGCAAGTGTGCTAATCACCTTCTTAACCGCCCGATCTATAAGTGATGCAAACTTCAATGAATTACGAACCTAAAAACCTAGGTCTCTCTCTGTTCTACAACTCTACCTAAGGCCCTACTTCTAATTTTGTAAGTCTTGCCTTTGTTTGTTTTCCAAATGTGCAATGCCTCGCATTGGTCTAAATTAAGCTCCATCTGTCACTTTTCAGCACATTGACCCACTTGATCAAGATCTCTTTGCAATCTTAGATAACCTTCTTCACTGTCCACTATACCACCAATCTTGGTATCATCCACAAACTTACAAATCATGCTTTCTATATTCTCATCTAAATCATTTATATAAAGGACAAGCAAAAGTGGCCCCTCCCTGTGGAACACTGCTGGTCGTGGGCCTCCAGTCCAAAAAACACAGCCCCCCACCATCACTCCCTGTTCCTGCCATTAAGCCAAATTTGCATCCACTTGGCGACACAGAATTCCATGTCATCTAACTTGACTAATTAGTCGACCATACAGAATCTTTTCAAAGGATTTAACAAAGTCTAAGTTAACAATGTCTACCATTCAGCCCTCATCAACCTTCTTGGTCACATCTATAAAAAATGCAATCAAGTTTGTGAGACACAATTTCCCTTGCACAAATCCATACTGGCTATCCCTCATCATTCCTTGCCTATCTAAATGCATAGAACTCCTAAATTCCAACAACTTACCCATCACCAAAGTCAGGATCACAAGTCTATAGTTACCAGGCTTCTCCTTACATCCCTTCTTAACCAAAGGCACAACATTAGTCACACTCCAGACAATCAGCATCTCACTTGTATTTGTAGATGATACAAATATTTCTGCAAGTGGCCATGCAATTTCCTCCCTAAATTCCCACAAAGTCCTGGTATATGCTGGATCAGATTCCAGACATTTATATTTTTTCAAGACCTCCAGCATCTCCTCTTCGGCAATGCAAACTATTTTCACAACATCAATATTTATTTCCCAGAGTTCTCTAGCCTTGATTTCTTTCTCCATAGTAAAACCTGATGCAAAATATTCATTTTACATCCCTCCCATCTCCTGAAGTTGAACACAAAGCTGACCTCTTTTATCTTTAAGGAGCCCTATTCTTCTCACTTGTTGCGCTCTTGCTCTTAATGTACTTGTAGAATACCTTTGGATTAACCTTAACCTTATTTCCAAAACTACCTCATATCCTTTCTTTGAATTCCTGATCTCCCTCTTAAATCTTCTCCATAACCACTGATATTCAGTCTGTAAAGCCTTAATCTTTTCCCTAACTATGTCTTTCTTACCAATGTGTACAACATCTGGTTTCTGACTCTTCTTTCACTATATATTTCAAACAGTTTGCACCAGGAAAGCAACATACTATCCGAGATTCACACTCACTGCCACAGAACCCCTGATATGTGCCCTTGACAGGAGAGTCACCTATAACAATTATTAATTTAAATTTTGTCAAACCCCACCTAACATAAGATTCATTCTTAGATCCAAGATCTGACTGTCTCTTCTATTCTCATCTGAGCGACTATTCTTTCAACAGTACCCAAAACTGGGGATCTGTTTCAGAGAAAAACAGCCATGGGAGATTTCTGAAATATCTTCTTAACTTTCCTGACAGTTATCCATCTATTTGATTGATTCTGCTGTGTAATCACTTCTCTAAACCTACTCGCTAGCTACCTCTTGTCTGTTGTATGCCTTCAATGTCATTAAGCCTAAAAAGAAGCAGCTTACAATACCATCTTATCTCTAAAATAAACTACACTACCCTTCCTTACTCAAAGAGTTAATATTAAGCATGCAAGAAATAAGAAATAAAAAAAAGTATAAATCTTCAATAAAATCAATCACTTTGCTGAACAATCAAATTTTAAAAAAACTCAAAAATGACTTCTGCTCAAGTGGTCCAGCAGTTTGCTTTCAACCTTCTGATTAAAAGCAAATCCCACTCTGGAGCCACCCCAGCGTAGCCTCTCCAAAAGCTCTGTAAACACAATTCCGTTTAAGACAAAACTCTCCAACGCAATTTTATAAAAATTGCTTTAGTGATGTTAAAAAAAACTCTTATAATTTCATCGAGAAAAAACACCGAGCAGTCCACATGTAGGCAGATCCAAAAGGTCTATTGACACAACTCCGTTTGTTAAAAAATTGTGTCTGTCTTTTTTTTTGTGTTTTTGGTTATAAGTGAACTAACAATGAATTAAATAAAAACCGTATATTACAGAAATTTAATAAATGTAAGAAATCTAGAAGTAAATCTAGAAATAAGCCTGAATCTCCAGAGCAGTTGCAAGATCCACGCTACTCTCAGTCCACCATTTTCAATCGTTTTATTTCTGAAGCGGTATCACTGGACCCAAAACATCAACTCTACTTTCTGTCCACAGATGCTGCCAGACCTGCTGAGTTTTTCCAGCAATTTCTGTTTTTGCCTCTGCCATCCTTACTTGGGCTGGTCTATATGAAGGGCACAGGACAGAGCTGGCTGCTCCATCTGCATTCAATAATGGGGTTCACTGTGTCAGGTCAGTGGAAGCGAGTGTGAGCTGGTGAGGACAGGTCAGGGACTGTGTGAGGAATAACACTAGGCCCCATGATTTCTGTCCCTTGCCTGACCTACATGTGACCGCAAACCCCCCAGATTATGTTTGCCTTCTGGGTAAAGAATCATCTATGATGCTGGGGACCTCTGGAGAAGACTGAGATCGATGATCACTCAGCACTTCTGAGTCAAGTTATTTGTGAATGCTTCAGCCCTGTCTTTTGCACTGATGAGCTGAGCTCCCCCTCATTGTGGATGGGGGTATTTTTGGAGACTCATTCTCCTGTTGGTTGATTAATTGTCCTCAATTATTCACAACTGCAAGTGGCAGGTCTGCTGAACTTATGTCTGA